CAACTAATCTTTTAATGCTGCTAGAGATGTACATCATTTTAGGTTGTACCAGATATGAGAGGAATTACTTTTCTTGTTGTTAACATCAAGAAGATAACCAGACTCAACGGTGGTGGAAAGTACCAGTGATCTTTGCTAACTGATCCAGAAAGTAGAAGAAACCATAATATTCAGGAAATTCATTTAGTGCTACATGCATTTAAAGCCTACTTTTAGCAGGCTTTGGGAAGAAAATAAGCAAATATAAAACTTAACGATCCTCATGTTTGAAAAAAAGAGTTTTGACATGAACCTGCATTAAAAAAATGCACGTTCAGCATAGTTCTGTCAATTTTAGAAAATGCATGCAGTGGGGAATTTCAGGAGTCTCTGTTTAAAGACATTAGTGGGTTGTACAAAACAGTCAATTATGGCACATTTTTCAATCATGCTGGATCTAAGGCTTTGCTGATCATGTAAGACGTAAGGTCCAATCACATGAATTTATCTACCCAAAGAAACTGAAGACTCAGTAGGCGAAAAGAAGGGACTGTTAGGAAGTAAGGCAACAATATCTCCAAAGATTTACCATAGTTCTTTGAATCAAAAATGTCAGCTCTATGACTTTACTGTGGGCAGATTTTTTTCTGATACTCTTGTTTTTACTGCGCACTAATTTCGACCAATATGTTATTTTAAATGTTCATCATTTATGAATATTTAACCCCGCCCTCTTCCCTCAGATTTCACTACCGTAATTTAAACTGATGTTCTTCTGGAGAGTCCTTGTGCGACGCTGGAATTTTCAGACATTCGAAGATGGATTTTGAAAGATGTAATGGACAGGAGGTACTCAGATGTACTGGAATGTAGGTACTCTACATACTGGGTAAGAGTGTATTCTCCACTTCGAAAGGCAGAATACTAAAAATGGGAGAAAAAAATTACGTATCTATACAGTAATGTTCCATTTTGGGACTACTAGCTGTATTCAGGTAAGTGAGAGGGGGAAAAAAAAAAGACTATTCTCAACCTCAAACCATACAAACTATTCTTAAGTTTGTTCCTTTTCCTCCTTCTATTTCTCCTTATCCTGTCATAGTTCATCATTGCTGACCGCAACAAAAATGTCAGTACTAGCTAAACTAAAGAAATCATTTTGCTGCAACATTCATGCCAGGTCTAAAAATAACTTCAAACTGGAAAGTATTTTGTAACTGCTGCAATAATTTGTGATATTTGGCACTCTCAATAGTTTACATTTGGTTTGTCTGAAAAAGCCATTCCGGAAATAAGCAGTTAGAATAAATCCTTTTATTCTAAGTTTAAATGTAAATTGAGCTTCCAGCAAACAAATACTGTAGCTGACTTTCTGGCTTCTACTGGTTTGTAATTTTCAGATTTTTCATTTGCATTTGTTTTTTTCAATTGATTGCAACATGCTCACGTCGACTTTCCAGTCAATTCACCCAAATTCCAACAGGAATTGGTTTATAAATTGGTTCCAACTGGAACTGGTCATTTGGAATTTCCAGCACAGGAAATTATTTTATAAGTGCCTTGATAAGTACCCTAAATTACAAACGGATGTGTCTAATATCTAACGACAAGAAAAAGTATGGCTATAAATGTAAATGCTTTACTAAAAAAAAAAAAAAAAAAATCCAAAAAAACAACCTATATGATCGGGCATAAATGTAAGGGCATGGTAACTTTTTTTTGCCCCCTACTTAACATCAAATGACAGCAGACTGCAACTTCAGTATAACCACGTTACATCTGCCAAATCAAGATGATTTTTTTTTGTTTTTCCTAGCTATGTTATGGCGAGTTATCAACTGATGAATACTGTTTTTCCCCAGGTTCTTGAACTCAAAGCCTATGTCGTGAATCATGGCTATATCCTCCGGGGGATCCTCGGTTCCTATGGGGTTTGTAAGTGTCCTGGTACGAGTCAGAGTATTCTTCTTCCACTAGAGGATAGTGATCTCGGCTGTGTTGGGAACTGGAAGACAAGCGGGTCCTGCTCTTTCGAGCCCTTTCATTGTGATAATTTTCATCTGAGGTCATTAGACTTCGTCGCTCAATTGGAGAGTTCTCTGTAGAATGGCTGCTGTGCCTCATACGCTGGCTCTATGAGTGCCAAAGAATCCAAGCATTAATACAGACAAAGAGTATTTTACATTGTTCAGCTTGCTTTGAGACCTTATTCTGAGGTTTTTCAGAATCCATCCACTTTTCTGTTACTCATTTTATATTAAAATCTGTATGCTACAGGAATGGGTTACAAGAATAGTCTGGTTCCTAGAGCTGAAAGCAGACCAAATGCAGCATCACAGTGTGTACCTTACGGTATTCACCTTTTAAATATTACAGGCCATTTAGCATGAAAAGTGAGCTGATGTATTCAGCATTTATCACTTTTCTCTGATCATGAACGTAACATTCATGCTTCTATTCTGCTTAGAAAATTTTGAGCATTGATTTATGTGGTTTTAGAAAACATCTCTAGATGTTTGTTGGTTTTGGGTTTTTTTGTTTTTAAAGGTGTAGCTCTGAGCCCTATTTAAAAACTGTCATATAACCAAGCAAATTATGGACTACTAACCAGGCAGCTAAGGGGTGGCTAAAATGATTAGATTATTAACAAATTCTTTCAACTAAAACTTAATAAATATTTTAAATAATGTTGACAGAAAATCCTTTTCCAATATAATTTATTAATTAAAAGGTTTAGCTTTTGCTATCCTCACATTCTTGTAATGATAATGTGCTACATTTGTCACATGAACAAAATTAGTTCACATTTTTTGCCGGTAAACAGGCACAGTGAAGAAATAGCCTAAAAAAATACTTTGTTTGCTGTCATCTCACATGAAACCTCGAAAGAGTAGAACCATCCATAGTCTCAGAAAAAACTGGGTCAATACTTTTCCGTCTCTAGATTACACACCCAACACAAAAAGGAGGATGCTGCCGCGATGGTTGCACTCTCCTCTGCGGCATCGTCTGCTCCTCTCGGTTCTGAAATTCTGGCCAGTGCTCTCTGTGCTGTGAAACCTTCCTCCTATTGCTACGCCCTCTCTGTATGGCAACTGTTTAGCTGCATAATTTATAACAAAAGGCTTGTCTGCACGGGGAACTAACTGTGCAGATGGGTGTACATTTACAGCACAGCAGATCGGGTGTCACACCTCTTTCTGGGGATCGATGCTATCAAGGTTACTGACTGAGAGACAACTCGCACAACGAGCCGGCATGGAAAAGGTGCCCTTCTGCAAATTCACATACTGGGTAGCAACTTCTATCACATTATTCCCAAGTTTTCCTTATAGCACCATGTTTTAGTAGTGATTCTATGTCAAAGTCCACATATTTTCTTCACAAATTCTACTTCTCATATTTATTTGACCTAGGCATACATTTTTGATATATAATCAAAATAATCAATGTCAACTTTAATCAACTTTTCAATTGAATAAATGATTCAACTTAATCAATTGCAACTTTAACTTTCTGTGCTCACACCCTATCTTCTCTGTAGTAATTTACCTCTCTGGCTGCAACCTGCTCCTTTCTAGAAACCTTCCTGTTTCCCTGCCTCGATCGTGTAGTCATTCTGATCCCGCGATTTCCCTCCTGAGAGGTGTAAGCGTGGCACAAACCTGGTGAGGCTGCGTGCTGGTCTTACGCCCCAAATAACTTTTGCTCCTGCAGCACAACCTGAGTGATAAACTGCATTACGTTCTCTGCAGTAATGGACTTAAAATGCAAACCCCCTGCAGCATAAGAAATACATATACCCAGAACTTGAACAGGATTTAAGCCCATTTGCTGAAATTAGACTACACTGTGTAGGTTTAGAGCTAAGCAGGGATTAGCTACAAGGGCAAACCACTGGCCCACAGGAGTTAGCAATGACAAAATTTACTCTCCCTGTTGAGGACTGCAAACACACACAGCTTAACATCGACATCTTCCTCTTTTAGGCAAGGTCATGACCAAGGACCAAGTGACCACTGGCTTTGGCAGATGCACCACAGACGGTGCCATGGGACACAGAGCTGGAGCACACTGTCGCTTATACCCTCCCTTTTTCCCTGATTCTTCTCCATCTAGGCCACTTAACTTCACCCTGATGACCTTCGTGAAGCCCAAAGACTTATGTTAAATCAGTTTCAATTCTCAGTAAACTAAACTCTCAGTAAACTAAACTCCATGCTGCAATCAAGTACAAAAGGGATACTCGCACATCCTGATTAAGTAAAGCATGTACAGATTGTCCCAGCAGATCTGCACCGTTCTCAGGTGTGACCGTTACATGAGACTCCAGGCTTTCGGTATTCATTTCCCCAAGGCAGAGGGCGAGACGGGAGTCACAAGGCAGAAGAAGTATAAATTCTTAATATATCATAAGCAACTAAGCTAGTTTAATTCATAGGATTCATGTGAGTACTTTAATTACCAAATCACATCAGTACAGTTCAAACTGATGCAAACCCTTCTGAAGGCCAGAATTAATCTAAACCCTCTAGGTGGATAAGCACTTCAGATGGTGGAAGTCTTTACTGGGGGATAACCATGTAAAACATCAGAACTCTTTAAATGGGGCTGAACGCTTCAGTGGCACTGAAAGCCAAACCCTGCCACCTCTAGTTGGGCATCATTCACTCGGGGAGAAATTTACCCCTCTGCAGAGAACTAGCACCATTCAAGTCCCACCTAAGCCTTCACAATTAGGGTGAAGTGGGGATTAAGTGATGCGTACCTTCAGCCAGCCCACTGCACAGGGGTGATTTTCATCTTCAGTGTGAGTTTTCCCTAAGTAAATGGAGCAACATTTCACAGTCACTGCTGGTGTCCATTGATCAGAGAGAAATAAATGCCTGAAAAAAATTCTGTGGATACACCCAGTTTTCAAAATGAAACTGAAGAGGTGACAGTTCTGCAGATGGTATTTTATTGTCATGAAGGGATGGAAAACTGAAATTTTAAGGCAAGTGAAAATGGAAACAACATTTCACATGTGCATGTTATTAGTAATAGAACAGTGCTTGTGCATTCAGCCAGTCAGGAAACAGTGACTTACTGACCCTAATAAAATCAAGCACAGCATTAGGAATGTGAGTATCGGGTATCATGCACCTTCAGTGAAGTGCAATCCACTCACAGAAAAAACAGCTTTATGTTAATTGGAAACACTGAACAACGAATCATTTCCTTCAAAATTGTTACCTGCTTCCAGATACTCTACAAGCAGAACAGAGGTTAAATTTGTCAGGTGAATTATTCATTAAACGTAAGTTGCTCAACTCTACTTTTGACATACATTAGAATGCGCACACTCCTAGAAAGTCACACACATACAGAACTCCTTCTGGAACTTTCAGAATTAAAAAGTTTGCTGCAATCCTGCTCTTCTCAAGCATTCATAACTATTAATCAAAAACATTTTCTGTTTCCAAACTTAGTAAAGCACGTACTTCTCATTAAGGACTATTTACATGCCACGTTTGAAGTTTCAAAGTTCAGCCGTTTTTGAGCTATCCCTGTGGAAAAAAATGGTCAGAATTTTTTTCAATGGGTAAAAAAAAAGTATTTTATTCACACTCAAAGAACTCAAAAAGGCGAAGGCATTTTGCTGATACAAGGCATGGAAGTTTTTCACCCAAAAGTGAATGTTTTGTGAAGTTACGAGGGTAGAAATAAAAGGGATCATTATAGACACTGTTCCGCATAAATACAGTAGCTGCTGGCTCAGCTGCTGGGACACAGTGCACATGCTTATTTGCAGTCTGCAAGGGCCTCATTTGCAATGGCATTTTTTCCACATTTAAAAAAAACGCCATTTTCCAATGACAGAGTGTCATTTAACTCTTCCTCAAGAACTAACTCCTCTACGGCCATTTTATTTCCCATTAAAGCAGGAGCAGTCACAGTGCTTCAGGACTCAGCTGACTGACTGCTTCTTTGCCAGCCTTAGCTTGCCTTCTTACTGCTGGCAGTGGCCAAACAGTGAATAATAACTGATGAAACAAATATAAGTTATGCTATGTAAAATATATTACACTCTTTTCCCATAGATTAAAAAAAAACAAAAAACCAAACCCACCTGATCTGCACTGGTGTTTGGGACTGAAAGATATTTTCATACCTGTAATCCAGAGATTGCAGCAGGGTATGGTGAAAGTGCAGTGGATCCTAAATTCCGCCCCAGGAGAGGAGTCATGGGTGTGCTACTGGTGGTGTGAGTAGCACGCCAGTATGCCTCAAGGTATTCTGCCAAGTGTTCGCAAGCATCTTCAAGCTGGTTTTCATCCAAAATTACATCAAACATTTCCTGATCACAACAACAAAGTTTGGTTCATTACAATGTTACAGGTGAAAAGAAAGAGATGTTAAATAATTCTCGTCACGCTAATCCTTCGAAATTCACTAAGTGAGAACCAGAGCATGGGGCTGCAAAAGCAAATTATACCAGTGGGTTTATAAGGTGATCAAAAGCCTTAGCTTTTGAGCTCTCGGAAGTCACTGTATCCTTTCAGCGAGGTTCACTAGACGTTGAGAGCCCTACCACGCTCAAAGGCACAAGACTCCTTTAATGAACCGATTTTGCTCTAAGAAAGGAACTCAAGCTAGCTGTTTGCATTGGTTTTGGACCCAAGGACTCGTGCATACTCCTCTCATCCTAACTGTGAATGCATTTCCAGGGCGACGATGCCCCTAAACCCACTTGGGCGTCAGTGAACGCAGCACGCGGTTCTGTTAGCAGCAGCATTTCTGCTTCAGCAAGGCAGGACACGCAGCCCTTCAGATACCGACGGCTGGGAATTCTTCAGAGACCACCTCCACGCACTGGTTTTTAACTACACTTAAAGACTGTCTGGGTGGTCTTACCCGTCTGTCCTCAAATCTGCAGGACCATGCAGGTACGGCCTTTCTCCCTACTCCTCTGTTCACCGGGGGACAGTACCGGCCCACCAGGGCAAGGCCTGGTCCTTGCCTCGGGCCTGCCACCGTGCAGGCCACAGAGAGGCCATTTACCACTGGACGTGGAAGGAATTCAAAGCCACGCGGCTTCTGTGCTACCCAAGAAGTCAAAGGGACGCTCTGCAGCCAACGTTTTTAGATTATCAGCACGACAAGTGATGATAACAAACAGCCGATGAGAAAGTCAGAAACTGAGTCCCTCAAGAGAAATATAAACAGATTTTCAGCAGTAAAATTTCGTACCTCATCTTTAATCTTAACTCACGCCTCAGTGGAAAAAAATATTGTGAAAATAGCATAGGAAATGAAAAATAAGTGCAGGTGTTAAGAGTAACCTATACAAACTACAGGCTGCTTTTCCTCCATGCATATTGATAGATTTATTCAATATACATAGAGCTGACAACTCTAGAATAAGATATAAAACTGCATGATCGATTTATCATAAATCTTGATCATGCATCTACCTTCTGCCCAGAAGTCTGGTCCAGAACTTACTTTCCTCCTCTGCCGGCAAGTAGGGAGTTTTCTTCTAACAGAAATACTCCTAACACTATATCCGTTGGTCGAATTCAGTGTCTACTGATGCTTGGTTTGCTCCTCTATTTGTACCCTTTATCTATACCCTTTACACCCTCCTTTGCTATTCAAACACATGTTGATACACTACATATTCCATTATATCTCTCACATCACCATTTGTGGAAGAAGTTAGTAATTCAAACATAGTTAAGTTAGGAAATAAAAGAATGTGGCTTGCTTACATATACTTTGCTTTGGCAAATACTGAAATTAAAATGCTATACTTGGAATATAACATGTCTTTTCTTAAACCAAGAATGAATATTGACATTTTCTGCTCTGAGACTAGTAAGCAGTTTTCCTGCGCTGCTCGTTCTTTGCATGGTCACCGATTTGAGGGCAACAGGGGCTGTCTATACAAAACTCAGCTTTGCAGGTTGCAAGGTAATTCTGTCTCGGGGCGTATTTTCAGCTGTATGGGGTTTTCACAGCAAACACTGAACACTCTTCCAAACCCCTCCTGCTAAACTAGGGAACTGTTTCTCAAGTTTCTTCTTAACCTGGATCAGTTGATTCAGGGAGCTCACAAAATGCTGTATCAACATGACGAAACATGCTGCAAGGTGGAGGTAAGACAAAGAGGTCAGGGATGGGAACGCCAGTACTGCTGCCTGTGGCTTCCTTTCTTCACGGAGCTTCGTGCGCTTCCAAGAAATGCACAGCTGATACTGCAGCTACCACACCTAAACCACCCCGGTTCTGGGACGCCAGGTAGCTTCGCCTGGTGTTCCGACAGAGATCTCAATTAAGCTGAACTTAGGGAAGAACTTCTAACAGTTGCAGTAGAACCGTCACCTTTTTAACAGTTAACTGTAAAGTAACACTAGGACCGGTAACGGCGAGCCTCTCAGGCTGTCGTTTGCAGGTCACCTGGAAATGCTGCAGGACTCGCAGGATCCTGATTCCAGGGCTCTACAGTGCTTTACAGCAACAGTAATACAGAGAAAGTTTTAAAGGCCTTTAACAGTTCCACTCGTAGCTGTGTTTGTTCTATTTCTTTGTATTTGTGAGGAAAGAATCTTTCAGGGACATCCTTGTTTGTAAGGGCCATGGAGTAAAGTCATTTCTTCCCAGTTCTCCTTACAATGCATTTTATTCACAATATTTTCTTACAACATGCATAAAACAGTTGCAATATGAGCATTTCCATATACTAGTATTTCTTAAATGATAAACATTAAAGCAGCGGTCTTTCCTGAAAAGAAGATAAAATTAGGTGCTGCCGTTCCCTGCTATTTCTTTTGGTTTACTGTATAACCACTGTGTAATATTCTAGGGGCATTACTCCATGTTAGCAACACAAAATAAAATGGTCAGGACTACAGAGGCATCTCTTCACCACAGGATGTTCAGGACAGGGAGTGTAAGAGGGACTGAGCCTCAGGTGCAGCCCAGTGTTGGTACAGCCGAGGGCAATCCCAAATCCGCCTCCCTGAGGTGAGCTCAGGCTCTGGGGGAAAAAATGCCCCAGACAGAACTGCAAGGATGGAGGTGTACCCAAGAAGGAGGAGGAATGTAAATGTAACTGGTGTACTTGCTATTTTTATTTATACCAATGCATTTTCGTTCTGCTAGCATGTAATTTCTGGTATTTTTTAGGTTATGTCAAAGAGACCAGAAAGACTCTCTCTTAGCACTGGTGTGAATCCAGAAGTTAAAAATAATAATTGTAATGAACTGTATATGACTAGTGTATTTAAACCTGTATGGTGAGTACAGTTCGTGTGTCTTTGAGCCATATAATGTTGCTGCTTAACGGAGTCATGCAGTGATAGGCACGCTTAGCACTGGCTTGACCAGCATCAGTGAAAGATTAGGAAGGAATTAATAATGAAAGCAGCTCCTGAGCTTAAATATGCCAAAAAAGACAGCTATTTTTAAAATGTCTAGACATACAGCACCATCTGATTACTTAAGGCTGGCTCTCAGCAAATGAAAAATAGTGAAGTTTTTATGGTTTTCAAGTATCTTCACATAAATACTCCTCTTGCAGGAATTTCAGCTGCGAAACAGATGAAGCAGGTCACAGTGCAGTCTTTGGTCTTAGCAGTATACTTTTACTTAATTCAATTGTGGATCAACTTGGTCCTTGAATTTAAACTTAACCAAGACTGCCATCTCTCCGAGTCCTCTAAGTCAGCAATAACTTTCTTGAAATCAAACAGTGCAAAGCTGATCAGATGGTTTCTGCAGAAGGCTGTTGTGCAAGTCAGAGTGGAAGGCAGCCTCTGAGCATGTACGGTTACATGTTTGAAATCTGGATACTCTGAAATTTGGAAATATTTTTCTTATCCAGGTGAGGTCTCACTTTGTTGCCTTAGGGAACAAAATACAATTACAGGATTGGGTGCTAAGGCAGAGTTTAACAGATCCTGGGGATGGACAATCTAACAATTGCAATGAACAAGCAAAGAAGGCTCTGAAACATGCACAGGCTTCTCAGTGCAGGTGGAAAAAGAAATACACCTTTCAAATGTGAAGAATGTGCAGCGGACTGTTCTGTGTGTAAGCTCCCTGACGGCTCAGTGTAAATACCACACACTGTATTCAAACAGGTGCAGGTGCAACTCCATTTGACTTGGCTCACACCCACTAGGAGTTAGGATGGTATATGCCTTTATAGAAATCATGCTGTACTACAGAAAAGTGTACAACTTGGTTTTAGTTAATGGGACGTGAATGGCTCTCAGGAATTCTGTCAGCATTTTAAGAGCTAACAATTCAGTAGAAAATTACATGTGAGAAATATAATATAGTTGAGCTCTCCAGAAGAACTCGAGATGGCTTGAACATCTTTCAGTGCTGCTTGAAGTGGAAAACAAGGATGAGAGAGTGAGCAAAGCGATCTGCAGTTACTGTAACCAGAAGCTTCCAGGTCTTTGCAGCAACACAACCAGCTGGCTGTATACGCAGCTGCCATCTACCGCTTCCCACAGCTGGACATCTGCAAGTGGTGCTGGTGGGGCAAGAGGGGCAGCAGGAGGGTGGCTGCGAAATCCACACCCATCCGGGAAACAGCAAGCTGTCTGGGGCATAGTGGGAACTGCAAAAAGCGTATTGAACTGGAGAAATCGAGGTACGTCCCCCACATACACCCCACCACCAGCACTTTTCTGATTATTTAAATTCTTGCTATGTATTCAGGCACAGGAAGAATTTGAAGCAGATCTCTTATTCTGGACGCATTCTTAAACCGTTCCACTTTTAGATAAGGAGGACAGAACTTTCAGTCAAGCCTACTACCTTTTTTCTTGGCATTCAGACATTTCAGTGTGAATCTAGCCCGAACATACACTAAAACATTACAAAAAACCTGCCAAAATTAAAAGTTTTCAGAGATCCACGTTAATTATTCTTCATTTTGTACCTGGCTGAAACTACCGAGCAAACCATCTGAACTCACCAGCAGTGTCAGTCAGCTTGAAATGGTATTTTTCAGAAAGCTGCTCCATACATACAGGATTACCCCAGTCTCTGGCTAAGCCAAGGCAGAATGACAGGGCAGACCTGAGGCCACAGAGGTCTCTTCCAGATGGGCAAAGGCAGGCACCCCGGAGCAGCAGAGGCTGGCAGTCTCCACGCTCTAGCTAGCAACTAGGCCAAGGTCTACTTGATGGCAGGAGAAAACCTAAAAGGTCAGCCAGTGGTCAAGAAGAGAGAGAAAGAGAAAGCTCTCTCCAGGTCTCCCTTTCTGCTGGATGGAGTGCCACCATTCCCACCAACAGTAGCTCTGGGACAGCTGAGGGGCACGAGAGCACTGGCCTAAAGCAGATGGGGCTCGGCCTCAATCCCCACCAATGGGAACAGTTAAAAAGCAACATTTATCGCTATAATTTAGGAGGATTGCCCAGGAATACCTGACATACCTTTTTATGGCCAGTGGGGACAAGAGAGGAGGCGACTGTGAAGTTTGGTTTTGTATGCTTCTTAAGGTACCAAGTTAAGTTTCATGGAAGTAAATCCTTGTGGATCATTACTCCAGAACAAAAGCTGCTTGAACTTTGTTACTTTCAATTGAGAATAAAAGCCATCTGAAATGGAGGCAAACTCTTTTAAGGTCTGCATAACACAAGGCAAAGTCTTCTAGAAGCATTATCTGACCATTAGGGTTGGGCATTTTTTCTGCTGATCTCAACTCCCAGATTTGTTCCTAGATTGTTCCAAGACATTTCTTTTGTCAACATTTTGCCTATTTTAAGTCAGAGAGTACCATCATGGAAACCTTGATGTGTCTATTCTGAATTTCTCTGAATTAATCTGATTTCTACTCACAGTTCTTTGGCATGAGAAAGACGGGCAATTAGCAAGCCATAGGCTGGACTCCCTGATCATTCCCCTGGTGTGAACAGCAGTCCCTTCCTGCACTACCAGACCAATGTTACACACAGCTATTACACTATAAAAGCAAGTCCACATCCAAGTTTGTTTCCACTGAGTAGCTTTCTCTGTTGCAGAAACCAGGCATGGTTTTAAAAAATAAAAGCAAGTTTGAGCTGCCCCATCCAAACACCTGTACAGCTTTTCTGCACAGCACCTGCCTGCGTAACCAGCTATCCGGGACCTCTGCTCTTTAAGCAGCAGGTTGTTCAGGGTGAGTAATCAGTATCTTTGATAAAATGGTGGGTGAGCAGTGACTGTGCTCTGATGAGGTCACCACCATGACTTGCACGTACTGCTGTGTCAGGAGGCTCAGGGATCGCACGCATGCAGACACACAACTCACACCATACAGACGGTAGGTCCGGACTCCCTACGTAGCTGAAGGAAAGTCCTCCGCAGCCTCCTCTCAAACCAGGAGTCTGAGACTTTGGCCCTTTGGGACCTTAAGACAGCACTGCTCCACAAATGATGTAATTTGCTAATGTGCTAGTCGACCAGTTTTACATACATGTCATTTTTGACCTGTCACCTTGTCAAAGATCGTAATAAACCCAGCACGGGAGATAATCAGGATGAAAGTATCAAACAACTTGTTTCTTAGCAATAAAAGCTGATCGAGGGTTGCAATTGCAGGGCTGCCTGAATCACCCTGTGAATTAAGTGAAGTCATAACGTATGAACTTGGCTACAATCAAGGACCAACACAGCAGAAATCTTTACAACTCCACGTATCACAAGTTCTTTAGCTTTTCTTCTGTACTTACTGGTGGGCATTGTGCAAGTTTATCAGCTGCCACCAACTGAACATTCAAGTGTTTACTTTGTGATTTTCCTCTAGATTTAATCAGTCGCTGCAAAACCTGACAGAGGAAAAGAGGAAAACGTGAGTTTAAGAATCGCAGATCTCCATAAAGCTCAGACTGAGATCCCATTGGAGGATTACCAAGTTCAGAAGCTCTCCATTCTGTTTAACAAAATGGATAAAATACTGTCCTTGAATATAAGCACAAACCTTTCTGATAACCTCCTTGAAAGGTGTGTACATTTCCCGCTGCATCACATTTGATCCCTTGCAAATATTTCAACTGCAGTACGAATGGCGATTTTGCTTTATTCTACTTGAAGCAATAGGTTATTTTTGACAAACGTTATCTTCTAGAGGACCACAAAAATTACATATATACAGAATTATACTGGATTGCTGGGTTGTCTGCGGCACAACAGTAGCAGCATGTTACTTTGCATAGTAATAACACTGTAACTCAATCTGTTCTGAGGCACATTCTGGGTACAGAAGGTATTTTACACACAGAGTTCATGCTACTTTTTTTTTTTTCCCCCTTCCATTGTGTTCATTACTAGAATTTAAGGGATGGAAAAAATAGGAATCCTAAATTATTTCTCTGTAAAGTTTCAAAGAAAATTACAGGATCATAGAACAACAGAGTATTTTTTAAGTCGGAAGGACCTCTAGAGGTCTCTGTGCCAACCCCTCACTCAGAGTAAGGCCGGCTGGATCACATTGCTTGGGTCCTGGTGCAGCTGAGTCGCACATTTCCAAGGAGATCCCACCACCCTGAGCCAGGATTGACCCATCTTTGCTCGTGCAGTCCAACATGAAGGTGATTCTCTGCTGCAAGGGCACACTGCTCACTCCTGTCCAAGCTGTTACCCACGGAGACCCCAGGGCCCTGGCCGCAGAGCTGCTCCCCAGCCAGGCGGCCCCGGCCTGGGGCAGGGGGTTGCGCAGCCCAGGGGCAAGACTTGCTATTTGCCTTTGCAGAACTTCAAGAGGTTCCCGACAGCTCGTTTCTCCAGCCTGCCAAGGTCCCTCTAAAGGACAGTCCTGATCTCTGGCATATTAACCTGCCCCAGAATTGGGTATTGTCCACAACCCTGGACATCAATAAAGGCCGTTAACAAAACCGTTGAACTGTACTCGCACTAGTACAGATCCCTGGGTGACACCACTGGTAACCAGCTGCCAGCTGGACTTTGTACCTCTGCACCCAGCAGTCCATCTTCCACCTCTCTTGTAGCCCACGCTTACCCAGACCGTATCTCACCAATTTGTCCACCAGGATACTACAAGGAGACTACATCAAAGCCTTGCTAAAGTAAAGGCTAACAACAGCAACTGCTCTTCCTTTGTCCACTGGGGTCATAATCTCGTGACAAAAGGCAGCCAGGTTGGCCAGGCATGATTTGCTCTTGGTAAATCCCTGCTGGCTGCTCCCAATCCCCTTCTTGTCCTGCATGTGGCTGGGGAACAGCTTCCCACAGGATTTGCTCCATAACCTTCCCAGGGACTGAGGTAAGACTGACTGGCCTGTAGTTCCCCAGGGCCTCCTTCTTACCCTTCTTAATCATGGAGGTGACACCTGCCGGTTACCGGGAACCCTCCCTGACCACTATGGGCTTTAAAAGGTAATAGAGAGCAGCTTTGCAATGGCATGAGACTGCTCCTTCAGATGAATCCTATCTGGTCTTGCATATATCCAGTTATTTAGGTGGTCTAACTAACTAACACATCAGCTTTCTGCTACTGTGGTCCTTGTCACACACTGCAGTGGGCCCACACTTTTCTTAGCTTTCCTTCTGCTTGCCATGTTCTTCCAGAAGCCCTTTTTGTTACCCTTAAGATCTCTTGATAGTTCTAGCTCCCACTGAACTCTGGCTTTCTTAACTTCCCCCAAAAGTGTATTCCTCCTGGGATGCCTGTCCCCACATCCATCTTCTGTATAACGTCTTTTTTCTGTTCGAGCTCAGGCTGTTCCTTGTTCATCCACACTGCTCTCCTGCCCAGCTCCACCTAGGAACAGACCATTCTTGTGCTTGGAGGAAGCTGTCCATAAAGATCACACAGTTCTCCCGAGCGTCTTTGTAACCCAGACAGTCTTTTATGGGATCCTGCTGCACAGGTCCCTCAGCAATCCAGTTCTAGGGTCCAGGTCTGCAATTCTGTTATTTGTACTGCTCACTTCTTTCAGGGTCTTAAATTCCACCATCTCATGGTTGCTGCAGCCAAGGCTGTCCTGGACCTTCACAACTCAGTCCAGTTCTTCCTTTTTGCCCCCAGTAGCAGGTCCAGCAGAAGCTCCGCATCACTTGCTGGTCACCTGCACCAAGAACTGATGCATGGCTCTCTGCAGACATCTCTGATGTGTCACGGCGGTCACTCCAGCAGGCGTTGCACAGCATCCCACCATCGCTGTGCTGATTCCATGAGACCCAGAGTCTCTGTCATGACTCCAGGCCCCCTTCTGCACTAACAGCCATGGTTGCGGTGGGTTCCGTGCTGCACTCCTGAGCAACAGTCGCATTCACGCTCCATGGCAGGAGCTAGCCAGCAGCCTGGCCACGCTGGTCCAGACTGAGCTGTGGATGGTGCATCACCATGTCCCAGGAGGAAACCACAGACAAAAGCAGACAGGCTTTGTCATCAACAGAAAACCATCATTCACTGCCTGGGAAGTGGGCAAAGGGCTGTGTGTCTTCTCTGAAGCTCAGCCTAAATTTTGGGTTTGTAGGGAGACAACCCAGAACTACAGCTGTGTTGGGGCAGGGGGGCTGCAAAGGGACTGCCAAGGGGAACCGAGAGCTACAGAAAGAATTTGCTTCTCAGGAATTTTTTTGTCTACTGAATTGGTGGGTGCCTTGTCTAAGGCTCAGACTAAGACTAGGTTCAGGTTTAGGACAGAAAAAAGAAATTGCATCAGACACTCCTTCGTCAAGCCCTTGATCTAAAAATTTCACTTTTTTTCTCTTCATCTCACTCAATTTCTTCAGATGCAAATACCATACTGCCCACCAGGACCCCCTCAAATACAGATATTTTAAGGGTGAGATACATTACCTTTGGAGAAGACACTTTAACATGGACAATAATTGGTGCTAAAGATGTCTTGATAAGTTGTGCAGGGTGATTGATAGTGTCTGCATCTAGGACGACCAGTTGTAAGGACCTTGCCAGTTCAAAGATTCTTTCAATTTCGCTCTGGACTTCAGCTAGTAAAGGCAAACAAAACAGGTGAAAGCCATTCAACCCCAGCAAAACTTAGACAGAAATATCATCACCCATTTATTTTCATAGACTGTATACATTCAGTATATGAACTCCATATGTGAATTGATGTTATTTCCATAAAATAACCTACTACTCAAGGCAATTTTAAAAATAAATATTACCTCTGAGACAATTCTGTTGCCTGAAAATACATACGTACTATGTTCCTTTATAATATCAGTGTATTTAAACATTGGGTACAATTAAAGGCATGTTTCTATTAACACAAAATAGACTTAGGCATATTTTCCAAATCTGCTAAATGGCTTAGGAGTCATAAGATTTTTTATTTTAGATAGCAAGTGATGTATGGATATTTCCTAAAATTTTTTTTGTTCTCAGATTGTAATTCTGATTTAACTTAAACAAGAGTCTGCATGAAAAGCAGAACTGTGACCTCCTAATTCTGTAATCACAAAAAATTGTTTATATTAAATAATTGTCAGGGTATTATTTAAAAAGACACTAATGGCAATGTTCACACCAAAGCACTTTTGTCTGAAGAAACAGGAGAGATATTTATTTCCATATAAATTATATTTCTGATACTAATTGTTCTGACCCTTCTTAATCATTCACATGCATGTGATGAATTTTAAACAGAGAAACTCAGCACAAATTGAAGCCTGTAAGTTATACCACAAAAGCACCTAAGAGCTGTATGTCAGCAACTCACATGCATTTAATTTGCCTAAGAACTGTTCCACAGAGTAACGCGTGTTCACAGACAGAAGATTTTTAGTATTCACCTTTGCAGCGCTTACTTTTGGGGTGCCTACTTCTGTACTAAAACGCCAACTAGAAGTGAAGTGTCCTATGACCTATATCTCTAGTTCAAACAGTCACTCAGGATGTCAGAGAATTGGGTTTAAGAGCCTTTTCTTCCTGAGAAGACTGAAAACGAACTCCTACCTCCTAGGATGGCGTCCCAGAGACCAGGTTACTGGCATGCACATACTACACACAAATTTCCACCCTTGTGAAAGAAATAAAAATTCATCACGGCAGTGTAACGCAGCAGTCATGACATGGTAAGGAGGTGGTGGGAAGACCCAGAGTCTCATAGCTAGACAGCAAAATTAAGCTGTAGCTATTCAGCATTAAATACAAAACCAGTCCCAAGGTCAGGAACAACATGTTTCCTTCTTGGCTGGACAAGGTGAAAGGTCTTTGGCACCTTGTGATGTGGAATTAAAAGCACAGGGCTGAGAAGAGGGAGCTGCAAGGCCAACTCACCTTGGGAGGAAACAGCACTGAACCCGTATTCTGACAGCAGGCCCCTAACTCATCTGTTGCAAATAGCAGCTATAATACTGCTTGCTCTAGCCCAGGTAATTGCTTAACGCGAGGCTAACACAGTACATTGTGCTCTGATGCCCCTCCTCAGTCCGGAAAAAACTGTCTCCCATTTGAGTATGTGGAATTCAGAATTATAGATTAAAATGCTGTAGACACATTTAAAATTGCAGAACTGATGACGTCTTGAAGGCTGAAATCCTGTTGCTTTCCTCCAGCATGTAACCACGTTCAGAATTACATCTGTGTCAATGTCTTACCTAAACTGGATCTTGTATTTGACCGCTCAATTATTGCCCTCTTGCTTGGATTATTTAGAACAGACCTCTTAGCAAGAGAAATGTCAGCTGTCACTCTAGTTATTGATATCCTATGAGTAAGAACACAGGACAGAACAAAAACACAGTAGTCAAATTTTCAGTGCACTGTGCATGATTTACAGCTACATTCCATTCCAAAGTGCAAATACAATAAAATACCACTCAGACATGTTTTATAGCTGAGTTATGTCATCATTAAAGAACAACTAAAGAGAAATGCTGCATAACTGTAAAGTACTTTCTATTCCCTACGCTATTGTAGACTCTAGTATATAGTTTCTGCTACTCTACTTAAAGCATTAGTTAACTTTTCTCCTCCCGAACTCACTCATCTCCTACACGAATTTACACAGTACCATAAATCCTGCAAGGTATGTGAGTCTTACGGCAGACAGAACAACAGAGCCATAACAGTAACAGCACTTCTCCTCCCAGATATTTAAGCCATTGATTAAACCTGACATTGCTGAGAGGTAAGGTAGGGCCATGGTTTAGTGGGCATGGTGGTGTTGGGTTGACAGTTGGACTTTATGGTCTTAAAGGTCTTTTCCAACCTTAATGATTCTGTGTGACATCTGAGCAGACCACGTCACTGCTATCGGTGTGCCTGTGAGTCACTGAACAGAGCTGCTTGCTTTGGGAGACTGCTCCTCCAACACGCACTCTCCTTTTCCAGACAGTGCCAATGGGCTAAATGACCTGGCTCCTGGTTGAACAGGAGAAAAGTAAGTTGAGCCACGGCTATCTGTACTGCTAGAGCCTTCCCTTTAACTTAAGGAAAGTGATTTTTTTTTTTTTTTTACTTGATCTGTCAGTGAGCTGACAGGAGACAAAAGGTTATAAAACAAAGACCGCACAATCACTTCACATAAAATCCATTTAGGAGGACTGTGATGAGCCAAAGAGCCATGAATAATGAAAAGAAAGCAAGCTGGAAATGACTAGCCGCTATTCCATAGAACATGAGATTTATGCAGCTCTAAGTGAAGTTATCAGATGGAGGGTTAAAAAGAAGTGCGAGTATTCTTCTACATAACACATAAATAAATTTATTACCAGAAAATATAGCAGAGACCAGAAGTATAAATTAGTTTTAAAAAGAAATGGGAGAAATTAATGGATCATGGATCTAGAGGTGACAATAGGTGATCACACCTCTGGCTCAAGGAGCTCCTAGATCTCCGACTGCTGGAATCAGAGATGTGTAACACTCACCTACAGTGCCAGATATAAGAAGCATTTCATCCTTCCTGAGTAAGAAGTAATCCTAAGCATCACTGTTGCTGAAAGATGTTAAGGAAAAAAATGTGGCCTTGCTAAGTTTTGTTTACACAGTGTATAGAGTCAGGCTTGGTCTACAACAATGATTAAACACAATGCAGTTAGAAAATGATGCCCTTAGAGCCTCTGCAGCAGCCATTCCCTGAAGGCCTTGGGCCAGCCAAGCCTTAGCAGGCTCCTTTCAGCATGCCTGCACGACACAGCCCTCGGGCCTTTCCTTTGGTTCACTGGCCAGAAGAGGATGTTGCGGTTACAAAAGGCGGCGGCTGGCAGAAGGCAAGTGGATTAAGAGTTCGGAAGGAGTCCCGCTACTTCAAGTCTTACTGACTGAAGTCTTTTGAAAAGCTCCTCTTTGGACAGTCATTTTCTTTCTTGGTAACATGGACCTGTCACAAAATTGCAGAAGAGATGGAAAGAACAAAAAAGAAAAGGCTGGGGGGAGAAAGACTGCAAAGCCATAAAAGCTGTCAGGAGGACCAAGAAGTAGCTGAGGTGTCTGAAAAGTAATTTAATTCATTTTCCTAAAGTTACTCAGAGCTAAAGTTAATTATATCAGCTTGCTTGGGGCTTTTAACTTTTTCAATGCTGAAATGTCATCCTTCCACCTGATCTGGTTGCCAATATTGCTAATGGCAATAGGATTCCCAAGGAATACCTCACTGCAGGCCGAATCCCTCCCTTTTGCCCCTCTGTGCAGACCAAGGGCATGGTGGGGGAGAAGACCGAGGAGCAAGGCAAGGAGCAGTCCTGCCTCCCATCAGATTAAGCAGCCTAAACGGGTGCGTCTAAGCGTGCTTTACATTTTCTTCTCCTTACTTAGGGACCTCTGATCTTCATGGATCAGGCCTCTGCTGAGTACATTCTCATACAGGGTATAAAAATATACCTCATAAAGGATATATTCATAGCAATCACGTCATGGCAACTGGAGATGACTTATCACTTCCCGTTGCCATGGTTTCCTACCAAAAACAATGACTCTCCGCTACCCGACCGGCATATGCAAAGCTGACAGATAACACGCCAACAGCTGGAAGAGAACATACGCTGTGGTTCTGTACCTACACCTAATGCAAACGGGCACCGGAGCTCATGCAACGAGCTGCAGCGCAACCAGAGCAGTCCCACTGCTCAGGAGTGGGGAAGGAGGTACTGACAGGGCACACGAACAGCTCAGAAAAATGGTAAATTTAACTGCAGGCTGTCACATACAATGCTTCATCTGCCAGGTTTTAAATCAATCACTACGTTTAGAGAATCTGCTAAAATCACTTGAGCCAGGCAATTAAAAATAGGGGAGGAGAGGAGATATTTTGCACAGAAGATGATGGTTAAACATTTTGTCTAAGCTGCTTATGGGTTTGTTCAGCACTGCCATCTCCTCACTGCACCCCAAACGGTACCTTGACCATAAATGCTACTCCACCTCTTCTAACCAACATACACTATTATTTTCATTGTCCTAGTGCCAATGTTTTAGGTATTTTCAAACCTGACGTGCTGTGATATACTAGCTAGCGCAGTATAAGCTCCTTTTCACAGTTAGAATATACTGAACGAACTAGGATGAAGGAAGGGCAGAACATCCCAAAGATGTAGCGGACACCTATGACTACTACCGAGCTCCAGTGGAAAGGAAGAGATGCCATGGACCAAGCCTATGTTCCTAGCAAAGAAATCCAAATTATCCTTCTCACACAGCTCATGAGGAAATACCCTCTGCGTTCCAGCTGAACAAAATGAACCCTCCTTATAATTTTTGAAGTTCTAACACACTTCTTTCTATATTTTAGTTCTCAGCATTTCCTTCTTCAAACTGCGTTTTTAAGTATTTTTAACTACTGAGAATATTTAAGAGTTGATTTTTCTTAGGTGTTGGTCTGAAGCACTGTTACCATGTCCTGTTAAAATCTGCTGTTTCTGATACTTATTTCAGGGCTAGGGTGTGATTAGTTATATTTAGAGAACATCCTGCTGTAAAGGAGTCTGGAACGTCACAAAAGGTGCTGGAAAATAAAGCAACTTCAAAATAAAATCAAGATGCACTGATTATTTGGCGTCTGCACACTTCAGCGGCTGGCTGAGCTGGTCCAGAATCACAATTTCATATCCAATGGTTAAGAAATTTTCATATCCCCAAAGGATTGTGAATAAAACTGTACTTTTACGTGCAATCAGTCATGCTTTCTCAACTGTTCCGTGACATGAAAGGAACGGGACAGCTCTTTAAGAAAAAGCAATGCACTCAGTTCAATTTACCCAACATGCAGGCAGCTCAGGCTGCAGAGCAGCGGCTTGGGAGCTCCGGAGGAAAGCGGGCCAGCAGCGAGCCGGAGCCGGGCTCTGCCAAAAGGGCTGTGCACGGAGCAGCACCGTCCCTCTAACTCCCGGCTGAACAAGCGGCACAGCCTGCTTCCCAGGGCAACATTAACCACCTGAGCCTGGTAATGCCATCTTTAAAGATATTTTGGCACTTTCCATGTGTCACCTTTCACCTAGATTTCTCCTGTAACTTCAGGCTGAATTATTCTGTTAAACCTAAGAAATCCTACTACAGACACAGCAAGTATTAAGACACATGCACTTCTAGTAATACGTTAGCTGTGTTCCACCCCACAGCTGGCCGCATTTCAGTGTTGATGCAAAGCCAGTAAATAAGTTTTGAACATGCACCAATCTTCTTGCATTTAAAAAAAAAAAAAAAATCACTAGAATGTTAGTAACACATGGAGGGGAAAAGCATGAAAAGGACAGTATTTCTCACCTCCCGTCAAACCTGTGCTTCAGGAAGTCAAAGAGAGCTTTCTGCATCATGTCTGTCACCTTTGCAGAGGTGAGGAAGATTGAACAGGGAGGATTGACAGGGCGAAAAAGAAGTCAAAAGTAAGAAAAGAGGTAAATAGAAGGTAAGGATACTGCCAACAATCAATACCTTTTATAGGTAGCAATCATTTAATTTTCATGCTCTCGGCAGCATGCTTTGTAATAAATTATTGCAAGTTTTCTGACTCATTCTCCAAAATGCGGAACGGAGGATGTGAGAGCTGTCACTCTTTCTGCTCTTGCTTTAACTTGCACTGAAGCATTAGAACACATCTCACCACCTTCCATAGCAGTACCATTCCCAACAGGCTTCTGAACATGTCAGAAGCATATGGGACTATTCAGGTTGAATAGATAATTTGTTTTTTTCCTACAGTAACATTATTAGAACTGGCTTAAAACTTCAGATACAAGACTTATTGTGTTGGACGACTGTTCTAACAGAAGAGAAAAATAATTCTCAGAGAGGCATACAAGCAGAAAAAATGGATGCCTCCATTCCTGTACATGGTAAAGCTCAGCCCCAACAGCTGTCGTCTACTTCACTGACTGAGCTCCTTGTCCTTTTCAGGACAACTCGGGCTGACACTTAGCATCTGCCAGTCTACACAGCAACTTAATCAAAGCCCCCAGGCCTCTGGAAATTTATTTCTCCTAGGTTATCTTTCAAAATGATTCCTTCAGAATTTAGTCAGGAAAAAAACAGTCAAAAGAATTTTCCCATGGATGTTGCAAAGTAAGGTCAATGCATTTCTGTTACGTAGACCACTATTGGTAATTGAAATTAATATTCTGTGTTACTATTTATACACCTTTATACGTTCAAGATGTCATATTTGGTATTATTTTCTTAAACAAAGGCAGGATGGCATATTTGTAGAGGTATGTATTAACAAACAGCCTCTCTCCCCTCCAAACTTGAGAGTCCCTAGGCAAATTAATCTGTGGCGCAGCACCACGAAGTCAAGGGATGACATTTACTCCTGTCAAGAAACATCACCATAAAATTAAAAGGCAGAGAGTAGAACATGAAGTATCTGCTTTGCTAAACTACACTTTCAATCACTCTTACAAATAAAAAAAAAAAAGAGCAAGAATAATGCATTATGCTAATAATGGCAACATGTTTTAATCTTCCAAAAAGAACCATTCCAACGTGTTTAATAATATCCTATATAGTACTAACAACATTAATGAAGCTAAATGAAGTGTATCTTTGATTTTATGTTCATGTTCATTTGGTTCCTAATTCAGCAAAACACTTAACAGATGGTTAAGTTCACTAAAATGCCCTGCTAAAAGCCTATGCTCGTTTAGCATGTGTTAAATGCTCATTTGAATCTGCAGCAGTCTTGAAAAATGGGTGTCCTGTTTATTTGTGCATGTTGTGATACCTACTTCCACTTTGAACAGAGGCAAATAATTCAGAAGGGTTAAAGGTTTCTTTACAGATATATTTCAATATACTAATAATCTTTAAAAAATTAAACATCAAGGAACATGCTGACATAATAATCATTAGCTCCCATATTCAGTCTCAGGTGCTGGACAACAAAACTGAATATGCTGGGATAGCCCAGCTACTTCATTTGCCAACACTTGAGTTTCCTGGGAAGATGTAAAGTTTTTGTAAATAAAAAAAGGAGAACAATGGGGAAGCTTCTTCAAAATTTTTGCTAATTAAGTTCAAAGTATGTGCTAGTTAGACTAAAATTGTACATGTATACAGAAGTCTAGCTAGTTAATTTGACTGCTCCAACTGTTTCTTGTAGCGGACACAAATTCTCTTTTTCTCACTGGATTTAATCAAGAATAACTATACTGAAAATAATGGATGTGCACTGTGTTTAAAGCGGTAGAACTGCAAAGAGAGCGCCAGTGTACTTACGTTACCTACCCTTCAGCTGAGACATCACAAGTAACAGACACTATTGCAAGGTAGAAAAAAATTCAGCTGGTACCTCACCCAAATAGTGCAAAGCGCTAACCATACTCTTAGTTTTTGTGTAACATTTTTGACAATTATTTAAGCTAAGATCACTTTTAATTATCATAAAACCATTGCACTGGACCACACAGGCTGAATGTACTAAGGAATATTATAGATAAGAAAATACTAACTAATTGCAAATACCTGGAATACATACCTCATAGCCTTTCAGTGATGGACCCACCAAGACAACAGGTCTCATTGATGGTACTACATCATAAGGGGGAACATGTTCTGTCTAGAAGAAGAAAACAACCCTTCAGATCATGAACCAGAGAAGATCCATATGAAAATCCTGGGAATTATGTATTAGAATTAAAGAAAATAAAATTAAAATTAAAGTACTACTTACCACTTTTTGTTTCTGTTTTGCTAAAAGACCAAATGAGAACTTGGTTAGAAGACATGCACTGTGTACAACAACCACAATAATTGCAAACGAAATTCCCTTTGTCAAAGCACTTTCGATTTCTCTCAGTGCACCTCCCTTTTGGTCAGCCCTGTTTAAATTGGTCATTCATTCCATTCTGGGGCAGCTGCCACTCTTCCTGAGATTTTTTCCCAGTCCCTTAGCAACTACCGCATGTCTAGAAATAGATGCCTTCCTCCACCTCCGCACGCAAGCACTCTTCTGTAAAATGTCTTAATAAGCCAGCAAAGAGGGGAAACCCACATTTTTCAAACAGGATTTTTAAAACGGAAGTATTAGAAATAGCAAGAGTTTCCTTAAATAAAATTCTGTCTTACCCGTGGAAGTGGGTGTGGCTCGAAATGTGCCAGAAACCATTTCTCCAAGACTTGAAGAAGAATTTCCACTCGATTTCCTATGGTAGCAGAAAGAGCCCCATCAGCACTAAGCACCCAGAGATGCAAACGTGTGAGGTTTTAGGCAGCAGCTATGAGAAATTGTCCCATAAGAAATCACATGGTAAAGGAGAGTCTTCACGCACGCTCATGCTCCAAGAAAGCTTCCTCTGAAGTGTCGGGTGAAGAGTACTAGGCAGGGACACGGGGAAAACCAAGCATCTGTAATTAAGTAGACCTCCACATCTGGAAGAGTTGCGTACAGGCTACGAGGGGAGAGTGGGTTCTGTCTCAGTCTGAGGAAAGCTTTTCTGTGATCTGCCCGTAGGTTGGGAAACGCAGCAGCTCTTGGCATAGGCACCTGCTAAACTCAGCGCATAGCCCAGCGCTGCACGAGATCCCCCCACAGCGCTGCTCTCTCTTGCTGGGTCTCTCTCCCAGCATACATAACTAGACAGACATATCTCTCGGGAGGTTTGGGATCTTAACAGGGGGTTTAAATAGCTTTTGGTGTGTAGCAACAGTGGTTTAAGTGGCTCCTTTTTCCATTCTCTGTACCCCCCTGCTTCCAGCCACGCAGTTCTGCCCTGTGCCCTGCCCTCCTCTCCCCGTGTGATGCGCCCAGCACAACTGCTGTGCAGCAACCCACGGCAGACTGGAACGGTCTGGGGAGGGGGAAGATGTTCAGGTGAATCAGGTCTCTGATTCAGCTCATTGCACAAGCAGCTGAGGAGGAGATGGGAGGAGGGAAGGAGAGCTCAGGGCAGAAAGGACTGTTTAAGCAACATGATTGCTGCACGTGACATAGTCCCATGGTAGAATCCACACCTTTAGCACAGTATTTAGTATTTTTCATCACATACAGACTGTCCAGCAAGAGGATACTAGTCCCAATCGGTATTTTGTCCTTGCTTTCCTGCCATATGCTCTCCAGAGCAGGGATTGTTTACTCCTGGACTTGGCAAATCCTTTGCAAACATATACTAGACTCTAGAAACCCTCTTTAGTAGATGACTTCTCACTGCCTTACTGAGACAAAACTATAGTTCTTCTTCATCACACAGAGCTTTAGCATCACAACTAGTCACACCTTTTAAAAAAAATCTTAAGGTACAGATACTGTATGACCATATCCAACAAAGGTGCTCAAAAATGAACTATTTTATCATTATACATTACTTTCAATTTTATCATTATACATTACTTTCAATTTTATCATATCAATCCAGGAATGCTAGTGCAGACTGATTAAAACTTAATAGATACCCCTTATAATATTTGCCCTGTCTCTTTCACACGTGATTTTATTCCTAATATTCTCCATAGGTGAGATTAGACAAAATCTTCACAAGAATTGGTGATTCAGCGGAGTCATGTCCATTCACACAAGCAGAGCATTTTTCAGATGTGCAGTATCTGAAACAGTATCCCAAATGCTCTGTTAGTGTCCATCTCTCTGAATTAGATCATCTTCTTTCTGTACATTGAGATACACTGGCCTCCTCTGAAGCTACTTCAAAAATTATGAAAGCAATTTGGAAAAAGCACAGTTAATGTTGTTCACTCATTCTAAAAACATTTCCCCAGATGGCTTATACTTGAGATGATTCCTGACCTTGATTAAGTATATTTGCCAATTCCCTGACAGTACTATACAGGCTAAATGATGCTCCTCTTAGTGCTATCTATTAGGTCCAGATTCAATTGTCTTATGTCTGTTTACTCTGCATTACTAAAGGTTTTGTTCTCCTTGTTATCTGTGTGAACATTTAAATTGGGTTTTCAATTAGTGGGAATAATATGCTAGTAGTAAAGTAATAAAAAAAAGAAGAGAGAAAAGTATTTTGTGTATTCAGCCAATAGAAGAGTGACCTCACTGCCTGAACCGAGATTATGAAAAATCAGTTTTACTTCCTAGACCTGTGACCAAGTTTATATTTTTCCAGGGACTTGCAATCTCCAGCTCTAGCAGCATGGAGACATAGGATGGTCGGGCTAGAAGATGAAGAATAAAGGAAGTCAAACGACAAAGCTCATCTTAGAAAGTTTGAAAAGTCTGGTTTCCACCAAAATGGAGAGAAAGAAAAAAACAAAGAAAAAACCACTACAAACTTAAGAACATAACAGTTGGGGAAAAAATATGGCAGCCTCTGAGCTCCAAGTTGACTTAAACCCATGGGGATGTAAAACTCTCTATCCCTTCAGAAATTTCTGTCATTACCGCTCATACTGTATTACTGATCTTTGCTAAAGTCAATATACATTTTCTTCTTGTTTCTCATCATCAATATTGAACACGTCTATTCTCTGCAAATATGTATTTTCATCTGGAATCCCAAAGCAAACACTCCTCCAAATGCACTTCAATTAAAAAAAAAGAAAAAAAAAGTGACCTTTGAAAATATTGGCTGGTGTCAGAAACGATTTTAAATTATTTTAAAAGGTTACAACACTCTTACCCTCCATGGAAACGTCCCCTCTTCTGCTCCTGTTGAATGCGGATATTCTCCAGTCTAAGCGGGCTTGGAATAAAGCCAATCTCGCAGCCCTCCTTAACCAGCCTTCCTATCCACCAGTCATTATTATATTTCTGAAACACAGAAAGGTTACTGGCTTTAGTTCAAAATGCTCCATGTCCAAAACTCTCTAATTTTGTTATCCACGATCCTTAACTCCATACTGGTCAACAAAACCAGACTCACACTGACGAATGAATGCTGAACGTCAGTGTGAATTTAAGTGAAGTTAAAAGGTGCGAGGCAGTATTTGAAAGGTTAACGTCTTTGCAGCTGGACTGTGGGAAGTGGCATTACCTGTGGCAGTACTGTTTCATCTCTTAACTGCCCCAACACATTCTGCTGTGACTTTTCCTCTGATGTCACCAACTAAGGTTGGACATCACTCATATGATGGTGACTTAATGAGACAAACCAATTTGTGGTGAACTAAGGCCACCAAACTACCTCACAGCAGCCATACAAAGCAGTCAAATATAAAAATAACACCTTCAGATCACCATCAAAACCATTGCTATTGGTTCCTTGTAAAATTTAATGGTCTACACCAAAGATCACCACCACTGCCATTTTCCCCACCTTCTTTCCAGGTACTTGTACGGATATTATTAACATCCCTTTGCAAAATCCTTGTGTGGTGGAAAAACTCTACAAACACTATTCTAGAAGCCGAAATAAAGACAGACCAACCTATCCAAGACGTAACAGAAAACTTACTAGCCCCAGTAACAAACCAAACCCGTATCTGGTTAACACTACGGTAGAGCTCCAAGCAAAGTTACGACACCGCTCTACAAATGAGGCTTTTATAGTGCCCCTAAGCTAAATTCTTTGGAGACATACATTTTCAAATTTATGACAGTTGAAGCAAAAATTCACCTTTAGGAAGAAACTTTAATATATACTTGAAAGTATAAAAATTAATTTTATCATTAACCTTTAGTAGCATATATTTTTCTGCATTATTGAAAGTCTGGCCTAACTTTAATGATGGAAAGATGAAAAGTGGTATCATAGTGGATATCGTAGTGGAAAAGGATTTGTTGTAGCTGGCTGCCAGCAGAGCTTTTGAAGACAAATATCTGAAAACCTTATACTCTGCTATGCTTCATTAGGCACCTCAGTGTTCAAGAGAAACATTACTTTTCACAACTGACTTTCAAGTCATTAAGACCAGCACAAATGTACCAATTTTGTTTGCATCCCTTGAGGAAAAAGTTATCACAGAAATCTCATCTTAAAAATGATCAGTTCTCTTGGTTCCATATTCTGAAGCACTTAAGTTCTTGCAGAAACATATAAATACCACGTCCTAGCTGTCAAAGGTACAACAGTGCCTAACTGAAGTCTCTGAAACAAACAGAGCTTCAACATATTTGAAAAATAAATGCAGCCTTTTTATTAAGGCAACCCATACACACAAATATCAACATATACAGCTAAGGGAAATGCAATCCTTATACCCTCATCTCGAAAACCTGTCCTCTTTATATAGCTGTTATTTATGCAAGAGGTTCCATTACTTTATAATTTCAACTTTTTAAGTATTTATTCTTCATGCTGTTATGACCCCGATTCAGACAATGTCAGTAAGGAAAGTAATTTTAAATATGTTGCTTCTGCCTAAGTCAACGGAACTATTTACATTCTTTAAAATTGACAAATACTTCAGGATCTAGCATTCTGCTGTTGTAAATCAGTGAAATCAATCAATGGCTTTAAACTGCTGTAAAACCTGAGTCCCATGAGCATTACCCATTCTATTTTGGTTCTGAATGTACGCCTTGAACATGGGAATCTTTCTTCCATTAGCAAGTCATGGACCAGTGAGTGATGCCTCTAGGCATGAGATAAGAATCGGCATTATGCTGAGAATATCTGAACAATACAAATGAGAACGATGCAGCAAGGAACGCAGGGCTATTTGCATTAGGTCATTACCTCCCATATGTTATTCTTTGCATTCAGCATGTGGGAGGACGACAGTTCATTCCTATCGGTTGCCATGCCCATGATTTCTTCTGCATTGTCAGTAATTACTGCCACTTCATCTTTTAAGTAAGCACATAAATGTATAGTCTTGTAGGAGACAGATGAGACATATAGGACACGCTCTCAATATAGCAACTCATCAGTTACTGCTGCTGTTTCCCCTGTCAGCAGGGTGACCTTACTTCTTACCTAGTTTAGCATTATTCTAAAATCGGGAATCATGCTTGTTCTAGTCCAAGCAAGCCTGCCAGATCATTGAAAAACAAATTCTGCATTTTTCCAAGCAGCTAGACTCCAGCATGGGGAACCATTCCTGAAATCCTACTGAGTTACAGCCACAGCTTCACGCAAGCTGAAGGTTTCAGTGTTAAGAAAGAAACTATGCTAAACCCTTAGCAGAGCTGACAAATACCTGTGAGCCAGATGGCTTACAGTTTGGTGGCAATGCGATCCTGGCCATTTAGGTCTTGGAAGAAAACTCACAGAATGCCAAGACACGGACTCGGGACACTTCTCTGGAAAAATGTACAAAGCAGCGTGATAGGAGCTTAGTACATTAAATTCAACCACTGGCCTGTCAATAAAGGTAGCCACATTCCTAGGAAGGTCAAGATCAAATACTCATTTTAATGGTGATGCAGAGAGTTATGCGAATGGTTACACACGACAATGTACACTAGAAAGACAGTATGTCAGGCAGGGTACATTTCTGGTGCGGGTGGGAAAACATCAAGGAAGGTAGCTGAGAAAGTGATCCAAGTGCTGTAATGGATGCAGCTGTCTGCATTCAACTTTGAGTGCTAGCAAAGGACCTTTTCCTGATGGGAAGCAGGTTTAGAAAGTGGCTTACATCAAGGGAGTTCAGGTGTGGAGCTAGACAGAACAGAACACATTCCTGGGGAACGAAGAGGAGGGGCAATCCATTCTGCATGCAGAGATAGGCAGATTCAGATTCAGTGCTCCACTTCCTCAGCAGGGCTTTAAGCACTGTTCCACATCAATATTAAAAAAAAAACACACAAAAGAAACAAACAAAAAAATTCAAATCAGACTTCCGTTTGCAGCAAATTGAGAAAAAGGAACAAGGGAATCAACTGTCTCTCATGTGTCCTTCTCAGAGAGAAAGAATTTAAAGCGAAACCCCCATTCTACCACCAATCTCTGCTTCTAGAGGTGCAGAAGGGGGTGTTTTCCTCCTAAACGTGCTCAGTCTAAGGGAGATCAATGCTCTCAAGCAATGACAGACACACGTTCAAAGAAAGAGACAAACAAGTACTGAACATACTAAAATAAACCCAGAATGCAGATATGAAAAAATGTTTTTGCAAGCTGCAAGCCTATGTACAAATCTACAAAACAACAGGGGTTTATGCAAATTTGGAGGGCTCACTTCAGATAAAGAATTGCAGAAAATATGCTCAAAATGCAATAAAACATATTTTTCTCTACCAAAGCCATACTCAGGGCCCATTTATGCACATTCCTTTTTTCTTGTTTTTGTATCTGTCCTCTTCAATATTTTCTTTTTTTATTGTATTATTCCAAGTCTTATTTCCTCCCTTACAAGCCTATCTGGTGCTTTATGAAGACCTGGTGTAACCTGGTGCTATGCCGCCTTCTGATCAATAGAATCCCTCTCTATTACATAATGTCTGATCCATCACAAACTTTATTTGATAAAAAGAATCTGAATCTGCCATGTTGAAGGGTATTTAAAATACAGAAAGATATTACTTCCTTCCTGTGACATGAAAATCCAACAAGTCAGTAACATCAAACGTTTAAAAAGTGCAAGATAACCACCCCAGGGTGCTGAACTCTAAAAAGGCTGAAGTACCACCACATCTTCACTAATCAGGCAGATGTGCTGTGGTCTCCTGCCTCCACTTGCTCCCTTTTTAATCTGGTATGGCTCAGCCCCGACTGTTCAAATCGTAGTCCTTGGCATGTAAAAAGATTCCCTTTTCACGTTCCCTTTTACTACTTATTGGTTTTACCTCTTTGATGTGTAGGAAGTCCTTGGCATCAAAAGAGATGGCGGTGCTTGGGACAGGAACATCTTCATCCAGAGCTCCACAGTAACTCACGTTAGTCTTAACAGCAAATGCTACTGGTTTGGACTACAAATAGAAACACACATCACAAACAGTGGAAACTTTCCTGACCAAGAATTGTATCAAATTACCAAAAACGTAGCAGGGGACATTTGCTATCAAAATTCAGACCTAATAATTTTACGCAAGCCAGCAGAGTTCAGCTCACTAGAGAAGATCCCCATTTATACAAGAATATTTACACTATATTCCCCCAAACAACTTGTCTGCAGATAACTTGACTCAATTGCCAAACTATTTCAAAAGAGAGCATCATCATTATAAACCAACAGTGTGTATTTCAACACTAGGCAAAAGAGCCACAGAACTTAGTTATTATTAAAGTTGAAAAGAACACACCTTCGCCCTTTCAAGTTGTATAGCTGCTTGTTGTTCTCTTTCTTGGCGGATTGCTTCTCTGTCTTCTTCCAAAGAGACATCAGAGTCTGAGGGTCTGCTTGTGTACGAATCTGCTGAGCCCTGAAATTAAATTAATGTCACTTAGAAAACATATGTAAGAAACAGAAACCCTCTCCCCAGACTCATAAAATACTTCTAAATTATTTGTTTCTTAATTTCTTTGAGTGGGTTTTACATACTGTTTCTAGCACGAAAAATCCGCAGAATTTAGCGGAGAAATAACCTGGCTTTACCAATCAGGTGCACTAAGCCAAAGACAAATAACCCAAGAAAAACCTCTCTCTCCACTTCTAAAGAATCTCTTCACTTTCTTACCGACACAGTGAAATACAGCTCAGTTGTGGGTACTGTCCAGAAATATTCGTGGTATTTAAATCCTGTTTGACAACCTTAGATTCCAGATTATCAAGGGCCACGTCACATCAAATATAATTAAGGTATTATAAAGCTTGGTTAGAATCACCCCTCCCTGTAAATATAGTACCATTGTAAGTACTTCCCTCCCTACTGTGGGTGCCACTCACTTAAAGCTTTGTTCTGTGCTTCAGGAGGGAAAAACTGGCAAAAGTCACATTATTAAAAGCTACTCATCAGGGCAACACAAAACTCATACAATGGTGTGAAATGAAAACATACAAGCAGCGGCAGAACACAACAGCCTACAAGGGACAAAATAAGGTACTGCCAGAGTTAGATTTTTTTGTCTGGGACATTATTCAGGACGCCTGGGAACATCTGAAGTATTCAGTGGCTCCTCTCCTCTTTTTATAAAGCAACCTGACTCCAGCATCCTACACAGCTATCTTTGTCTTTGCGTGGAGCCAACTGAAAGACAGGGGTTTAATCTTGCAAAACAGATAAGGTAAGGTAAAGGGAATGTTTGATCGTGATGAATCTGAAATACCAGTCCCCTTCTCTCCAAATCCCCAAACACACACTTGACCCAGAAGCCTAGCACGACTAGGAATTGAACCTAGACTTCAAGGAGCACCACTGACGGAGCCGCGTACGACTGGGCATTCATACAAAAGGTGAAGTAAATTTTCACTATAGGAGGAAAGTCCTACAAAGATCACAAAATCCTGAAGTCTGGGTCTAACTTTCCACTCAAGGTAAATGATGAATGGGAAATACATGTCCCTTATTGAACCATTTCCCAAGCAAATGAGATTTTTACTAATAAATTAGTATGTCTGTCTGGTGAACGATGC